CAGCACCTGCCATTTTTGTGTAGAACAAAGGAGCAAAGGTTGTGGATCTAACGCATAAATTAGGGCTATGGGCACTTAGAAGGATTGGACGGGAATGGAGTCATCTTGAGCAGGTCTTGCTACGCCATCCCAACTTTCCTTGCGCATCCCACACCAGTACTTACAGTGTAATCAACAAAGACATAGAACCATCAGTGTGGTGAGATTGAAGAGGCCCTTAGAGTGAATAATTAGGAGGAGGTGATTACAGAACTAATAATTCATGGAAAGGAATGGGGAGCCAATTCAGTGAAATTGAAAGAATTTGAAGGTAAATATGCCCATAAATCCTCCAGGGTGGACTCAGAGTTTAGCACTTTCTCCTACCCCAGTTTTATTCCAAGGCAATTTCATTAAACACTAGAGAGAGGGAGAGAAAAAATAATAATATAAATGCCATAAAAAATCTTTCAGAGGAAGGAATAAAAAGGGTTCCTGCCAGAGAGAGGTTTTATTGAAAGTTATTATAATACCTATCTTTAGTTTTATGGCCTTTAATACAGGGCCAAGTAATTTCAAAGCTGGAATTCTTTAAAAATGAAATACATATTTTAAAATAGTATAGTATGAATTATTATTTTTAATATAGAATTTAGCTAATATATGGAATGGAGAAATATTTTCTCTCTCATGTTTTTTCCAATGAAAACACAAATATTGTTGCCATTATAGCATATGGGGAAGTTTCATTACTATCATGTTGCCTGAACATAAGAATGTTTAGCATTTACCATCTCCAGAACACTGGACAGACACTAAGGAATTATTCCATTTACCTCCCCTGGGGCCAATGGGTGAGTATAATCAGCCCCATTTCAAAACTAGGGCAAGAGGACCAGAAATTAAATAGCTAGTTTTGCTTACTGCCTCACAGTGAGCTGTTTCTGATGAGAAGAAATGGTGTTGGTGGAGAGATTTCTGGGGTCACTGCTCACTAGCCTCTCCTGTCTTGTGAAAGCAGTAAGTTTAATAATCACCTACTGAAAATTCTGAGCTCCAGGAAGGTTTTGAGAGGTACAGATTCCAGGTACAAGAAGTTATGGTCTTCTGGAGGTTTCCTCGACTCTGTTTCTGTGGCCAGAAATTTGCTGCTGTTTCGCACTGAAATAGCTTTATTCCTCTGGGATGATTCAGATGTTGGTATCTGGGCGGAAGCTGCGTGGAAAACCAGTATGTGATGGGACTAGAAAAATCAGTTAGTGATGAATTGTGATGGAAAGTACCGAGATTAAAAATACAAGATAGGAAATGGCAAGACAGATTAGTGTACTTATCTTTTCTGTGGTTTCTAGAGATCTCATTAATGACCTTGACTTAAATCTAACACCACTTCTGGAGGTTTTTCTCTTTTTCTAACCCTCATTTTTATACATATAAAGTCAGGAGCATGGGACAAACAGCAATCACAGAGAAAGAAAAACTGGAATGTCAGGGGAAATAGCTTGCAGTGGAGATGGGGAGAACAGGACAGAGATTAGTTGATAGAATCAGGTGTGGAACCAGTCATGAAAAAGTGCCGATACAGGTCGGAGATGGCAGGGTTGGTGAGTATCGCACATCATATATTTGCATTTTTTCCGAGTCTGACTGTGCCCTTCTCCGTTCAGAACCAACACGATTTTATAGCAGGAAGTCTGGAACACGTATCTGTGAGGGCAGCGTATGTGTGTTGCCTGTGCTGTCCTTAAGCTGCTTATTAAGTGGGAAATTGATCAAGACAATGAACAAGGGCCAGGCTTCATGACTTTTCAGCTCCTGCTCAGAACTCATCTTGGCTTCAAAATTCTTCATCCCCTGATGTTCAGGTTCTGTGACATACAAGAGTGGCTGGGAGGCCACAGAGGTTCACCGTTCCCTGCACCCTGCTGCTGGCCCTGGCCATACGTGGGGCCTCAGGGAGAGAGCCCTGAACAGAGCAGTGCAAATAGTGACGCTGCTTTGGTCTTCAGTGTCTGTGGCACGGGGACTTCCTAAGCTAGGTGTGGGGTATTTAATAACTCTGGATGGATGTTTTAACCCTTAATTTGGCCAATCACTTCTAAAATGCATCTAAACCTTTATTACCTACCAGTATCCTGTTGTGAGGTGTTTCCCAGTTTAAAAAAAAAAAAACAAAAAACACCATGGTGTAAATAAGTATCACCTGCTTTTTTCTGAGCATGCTACTTTCCTGGTTTCATATGATGCCCCTAATAAGCAAGAGGGGAAAAAAAAGAGTTATAAAGGAACTCCTGATTCTTTACAAATACAGAATCAGGTTGTCAATTCAGTTGGATCTGATTCCAAGTTAATGTTGCATGAAGCCCTTGGATATAAGCAAGTGGGTAAGTGGATAGGAATAGCAGTTGATAAATGACAACCATACATTGTTATAATTTTTATGTTTATTTCCTACTGAAGCAAATCATCACTATTCTTCTATGAGGACCTACATGTGAATTGTCATATCTTCAACTAAGAGCATAATCCACATGCTCTAAATTCAACCTGGAATTGAAAACCAATTGCCAGGGTCTTAGAACTGTCAGAGCAAGGTCTTCTAGTAGTGATGGATAATTTATTCTTTATTCACAGTGCTATCCTTAGCACTCTTTTACAAGTGTTTTAGACAACTGTAATGTAAATCTCCAGTTTCACTAGCTACATTTCGCCTGCTTAAAAAATTTCTTGCAGTACAGTTTTGTTGACTTGTGCTAAATTACTTTACAGCCGTGCAATTAAAAACTAATGTCTTTCTACCAAGGGACAGCTGCATTTCACTGTTGGAGGATGTGATCACTGTTTGTAGAAGTTATAAAGTGATTTGGTGTCCTTTGGGATAAATAATGCTTTATAAAATATATGTGACGGGACCAGAAGAATTATAGAAAGTAAATTTATATTTTGTGCATTCCTCCTTTCTTGACGTCTCACTAAACAGATGAACTTTTAAAGCCATTTTGTTTTAAGAGAGTAGTGAGCAGGATTTCAACAATGTTCTTCCATTTTCTATGACTGAAAGAAGATGCTAAAAAAATGACCTTTGTATATAAGGCAGGAAATTGCTTTGTACATGTTACCCTCAGTTCCTTTTAATCTTCCCTCCCCATTGAGGCAAGATTATGAAAGCATTCAGTGAAAGTATTTAAGCATGACACTACTGCAGGATTACATCCTACAAAACATTGCCAAATGGCAATGCCAGGGTAAGACTAAGTAGCATGTACGATAGGGATTCCCTTACTTCATGGCTGTGTTTTTACAGATACTCTATTTTTATAATTTTTATTTACAGCCGACCGATCCTATTTTTCTTTCTTGGCTCACTCTAAGCCACTGAAATAAAGAATGAAGGAATGTCAGGTTCAATCTCATCTTTCTGACTGACTGCTCGGTTCTGTGTTTTTTCCTTAGCTCAAATAGAAACATACAGGGGGAGTGCAAGGAACCTCTGGCAGTGGACAGAGGGACTGGCTAGTGTTAGGACCACCAGAGTCTAAAGGAAGGGCTGAGACCTCAGAACACTTACGCAAAGAGAAGAGGGAACATGCGGCATGTTGGAGACAGCCATAGAAGACATAGGAATGTAAGGGACACCGTAGTTAAAGCTGGAGAGTCTTTTTCAGGAATAAGGAATTAGAAGGCTTGCCATGGTGTGAGATTCCCGGGAATATTCACCTGGAGTACTACAGTATAGCATACTGAAGTGCAGCCTCCCTGCTCCTGAGGAGCTGAGATTTCAACAATGCTTTCTGCCTGGTGAGGAGCATTTTAGTTGTTTTGTTTTGGGAGTCATCCCACTGATCCTGCTGCTCAGCAGAATAGGCAGCTCTCTGCGAGAAGTTGTTAAGGGAGACAATTTCAGCAGAAGCTATGGTTTGAGCTGATGCTGCTGAGCTGGGATGATTTTGTACTGTGTGCAGGAATGTTACAACCTGTGTCCAGAGGCTGCCACACACTCTCCCTAATGGTCTGCATTACTAATTCAACTAATTGCAGCAATTACAGGCAGGAGATGCTGCTGGGAAGAGACGCCAGTACACTTCTAACATGCTGCAGTACACGCTGCTCATTAATTAGACCAGCAGAAAAAAAAAAAAAAAAGAAAGAAAAAATCACCAGCTGGAAATGCAAAGGAATGTGCTGAAATCTGTAAGGGCCATGGTCAAAGTTTGGTTTAAGCCTTTCAGAACCAGACTTTCCAGCCTGTCAGCCCAGTCACAGCAATGTCACTGTTCACTTGGCAAGCAAGCTGGTGAAGTTGCATGTTGGGCTTACCTGCCACATGCAACAGTTCTTCATAGTGCAACAAATAGGTCGCACAGGTATTTACTATCTGGATAAATAGAAAGGATTCCCAGCCCAAGAGGTGCATTAACAGAGCAGGAATTACCTCTGCCTGAGTGATGCATCTAGAAACACAGCAAAGAGTACTGCTAGCTGCCTGGGTGATATATATCATCTGGGTCTTTCTTGTATGCTTTTCTTTGCAGAAAGTACGTTCAGCCTGAACACACCTCCCCTGTTCAGTCTCTCAGTAGGTGCCTTCTGGCTCGCCCTATGTGGTGTTGGTATTTATTGAGGAGCCCAGCGTGTTCCAACCAGACACATCTACTTTGGCTGTTGGAGGACAGTTTACCAGCCAAGCAGGTGTCATAGCCCGCTGTACTTACTGTGTACAGTGCAATCCACCTGCTAGCCTAAACAGCCCGGCAGGCACACCTCACCTCTGCACACCTGAAATACTCAGCAGCCCAGGATAAGCGCTATGCCTCTGACAGGGGAATCCAGCTCCATGGAGGGCACATTCACACGGGCATACCTGGAATGCTTGGTACAAGTTAAATATTTTAAAAGTTACTATTCTGAAACATTTTTTTTCCTAGGATACTTAGCTGCCTCTGTAACAGCCTCTTGACTTGCAAGTACCTTATATTTTTTTCTTTGTTCTTTTTCCTTCATTCCTTTCTTTCACATGCCAGACAACAGATGACATTGTTTCATCAGCTGAATGTTCCAGTGATGATGAAGATTTCATTGACTGTGAGCCCAGTACAGGTAAGTCAGGTCAGTCTTGTTTTGCTTGCTTTCTGATTTCATTTGCAAAAAACAATGCATACATATATTTATATGTGTGTGAATGTATACATATATAATTATATATGTATATATGTGTGTGTATATGTGTGTGTATATATATATACACACTTATGTATATATACACTGTATATAAAATAAAATTTATACAGCCAAGCATCAGATCCCATGGACTTGGCAACAGCAAAATATGTAGTCACTATTTGGTTTATATAAAGTTGTTTGCATGGAAAGCCAAACTTCCTGAAAGTGATCCCAGCTCATTCATAGTTCACATGTTTGTAGCAGTTACTTCACTGACACAGCGGGAAAGCAAAAATATCAATGATGTGGCATGTGACAAATAACGGGGAAGGTGACTATTTGAAAAAGAGAAGAAAAACAAAAGTGGAGCAATAATGGGTCATTAGCATTGTTTAATCTTTGTTAATTGCTCTGAAGACGGACTGTAAAAGGATACATTTGTCCATGGGATTTTGAGTACAGTTAACATGGTAATGTATTTATACTAATTTTGTTTCCTGTGAGCTCAAAGAAATTGGGGAGCACTAAAACATAGTACTAACATAACAAAATTAGTAGTAATTCTTGCCCTGTTATCTGCAGTGATGCTTCAAAATGTATCCATTAAAGAGTCAGAAGAACTGGCCATGTGGAACTGACTCAACTTCTCCCTTTCAGATACATTTTGATAAATTGATGGCTTTTCTTTCTGGTGAGATATATGATGTGATATCCGGCAGGCAGTTGCAGTCTATTTTATTTCTTACAGGCTTTTTCAAGTCTTCTTTTTTGAGGCTTGCCATGAGTTAAGCATTTCTATAATAGAGAACAGACATCATCGAATTTCTGTGTACATTTAAAAGAAAAAGAGAGAGTTTGGTTAGAATATTTTTTCCTTAAAAGTGAAACATATAAATAGTAGGGGGGGGGGGGGTTGTTTGGTTTGGTTTGATTTTGCTTTGGTTTATTTGGGGTGATTTTTTTTTTCTTTAAAAAAATCCCCAGAAAGCGTTATAAATGTTCTGTTTCTAGTTTCCTGAAGCCATTTGATTAATACAATAATAACATTAAAATTCATCCAAGGCTAGTGCTTTCATATTTCTTTTCAATTCATCATGCTGTGCCTGCATATTTTGGTAGAACTTGGACCTGCAGTAACCTTAGATTGGCATTGCCTTGTAGCTGGGAACTTCCACTCATACTCTTGACTTCCCTGTGATGGCAGGGAAGGCGGTGACACGATGACTGATGCTAACAGATAGCTCTGCCCGCTCCCATCTCTTTTTTCACAGATCTGTATGAGTTTTTCAACTCCCCCCAGCAGAAAAGCAGTCTGAATAATACTAGATTGTGAAGCATAAACAGTGTGGGTACTGGGATTTTAAATAAAGGTAGTAATGAAATGCCAGCACAGTGATTATCATGAAAGTGAGGCATGAGATATAGGACCATGCTAAAAGGACTAATGTACCACAACTGATATGCAAGTGAATGGATAGGAATCGTTTCATTACAGCTTCATAACATTTCAAGACTTCTTTTTTTTTATTATTCTGATTGCCAAGTATTTCATTTAAAGGAGGAAACGAGATCTTTATCAGACTCCTCCTCTTGTATATTATTGTCATTTATATTTCAATGTAGAAATGATGATTACTTCAATGGCTATAAATTGTAATAGCAATGTTTTCAGCTTGTGCTGCCGGTGGAATAATCAAAGTTTGAGGAGAAATTTGGTAAAACAGATTGTTTAGCATGAAATTTCAGAGTGCTTTAGAGCAACATTTCCAGACTCTAAAAATATCTCTCTCCTGACACAGTTAGAAATCTAATGCTATAAACAGGTACAAACTGGATTTGTAAAAATGACTTGCTTTTGAAAATCCTGCTAAGCATTACAGTTGACCGCTATAAGTGCCTACAGACATTTGAATATCTGCTGTGTAAAATAATATGATTTGGTGAAAATCCGCTGAAGGTACTCTCCTAAATTACTAGACATTCTTGATAATTTCACCCAGTATCTTTTATTGCATCCTACTCCTCCTCCATAGGATGGTTGCCTGCATTAGCCACTGAAATCTGAATCTTTTCTTGGGAATTACTGTGGCATTGAAAATAAAAGTTAGCCTGATTATACGCAAAAAAAGTCTCCCAGATGGTCCTGGCTGATGAAATTTACCTTCCAGATTTTTAGGTTTCCTGCTCTCAGAGGCACTGGTGTACAAACTTGCCAGAAGGAGGAGTGATATGCAGATCCTTTTTGCCTCCAAAAGTGTAAACTTAGCTCTTTCCATCATAATAAGAAGGAAAAGTAGCAGGTTTATGGTTCTCCTCTTTTAGGTTTCTTTATCTATCTTATTCTCTCCATTCCCAGTGCATCCAGGGAAGGTAGAACAGTGTCTGCGATACAGCCAGTATCAAAGCACTCACACAGCCCGTTCTGCTCTGGAGCGCTAAAGCAATCTGAGATGGCTTATCAAAATCCAGTGGTGCTGGCTTGGCTGAGCAGATATGTTTGCCTTTACACTTCAACAGCCAAGTCAGGATTGTGGCCATATGCCAAGAGCTGGTAGTAAATGTATATATACATTGTGGAAAGAAAAGAGCCAGATTATCTTGCTTGTATTTTCTAGTGTGTGGGTTTGGATTTATTTTTTTTTTTAATTTTATTTTATTTTATTTTAATTGGGCCCATTTGAAGTTGTTTCATCTTGTTCTGTTGACAGGTCAGTGTACTTTATGCTGCCTTCTGGCTTGCCTGATCGCTTTTGCAGCAAATTGAAAATTAAATGACCTAACCTAGCACAGTCCCCTTTTCGTTGCTCTGATAATGTGTAGCTTTTAAAGCTCTTGAGTTTCTGCCAAACACCAGGACTCGGCCTTCTATCACCCTCAGTGCCATAGTCCAGCAATGCAAAGGTTACTGAACTCACTGCTGCAGCTGTGAGATATGATACACATCACTGTGAACCTGCTGTGCAATAACCACGACAAGGGCAGTGGAGAATGTTGCCCTGCAAGTCTAAAGCTTTCAGATTTCATATGGGTCAGAATCAAATCCCAAGATCTAAATATATTACTTTGGACTTGGTCCCACCTGGATCAGAGGCAGTACCCTACAGAGTCCTTTTGAAGACTTTGGTTTTGGCGTACTCAAAGATCGAAAGACAGAAAATAGTGTCCTCTTTGAGGCTAAATATCTTATGAGAACCATTTGCCAGGTCTTATTGCCACTTAACTCTGATTGTCTGTTGAATCCAAGACCTGAATCTCAGTAAGCATACAGTCTGCATCTGGATACTTGCATCTCTTTAAAAGAAGATGGTGTAAAGGCAATTTCCTCACTCCGCTCCCCTCAGGATTTTCCTGGCTAGTTTGAGACGCTGACTGTAGCAGTCTGGCTTACCCCTCTGGGCCCCACTTCCAAAAGTGATTTCTATTGGGATTTCTGTAGATCCCCTTGTGTAGAGACCAGGAGCTGCACAGGACCTGTGCTGACTGAGGTAGCTTGCAGGCATCCTCCATAGACATGTATGTATGCATCAGGAATTACTCTAACAAGTGGTGGCAATGACAGCTGTGAATCCAAAACTCATCTGTATTTTACATAATGAAAAAGAAGGAATTGCAGGTTCAGAGATAAAAAATACTTGCTATTTATCTTATTGCAGACAAGCCTAGATACCCTTAGATCTCTAGATGTCCCAGAATGGCTTACTGTAGATGATACAGAGGGCCTAAAACCGTTCATCTGCCCTGAAGAAACATTTACTTGCAGTGGAGAGCAGTCCCTCTGTTATTTCTATGGAAATGTTGCTTGTCTCAGTACGTGTTTGAAAACCTTCTGATTTCTGCACCAGAAGCCTGATGTTTTTCTCTGGTATAAATACAGGACTCTCTTCTGGCCTGTTCCAGGGAGATCTGAGGCTCAAATATTCAAGTTCCTCAAAGCTGAAGCCAGGGTCCTGAGTCTGTGCTTTTGAACACAGCTTTGTCATGGTGTTTTGGTTACTCAGCTGCTCTCAGAGAATGAAAGATTTGTGAGGGAAATAACTTTACTCCTAACTAGGAAGCCCTGTGTCACTGTAAAGAAAGAAAACATTTCTTTCTTTCCAGTCAAATGCAGAGCACTCCTACAGTCTGATCTTACTGATACTTCAAAGCCATGAGGATTATAGCTATGCTTTCCTGGCAGCAGCTGCTGCTGTCTCCTCATACCATTTTCCTTGTTCCCATTAAGCGTGTCCATTACCTCAGCGCTGTGGCACCAGGCAGGCTGGATGCTGGTGGCTGGGCAGCTGATCGGGATGATAACCCAGGCTGCTCATTGCACTAGTTAAAAACAGTAAGACTCAAACATTCACTGGTTAAACTGAAGTCCATAGCGCAACCTCTTGAAATGGATGTAGGCCTTAACCCTAGCTCCTTGGCTTGACACAGCCTGTGTTTCTTCCCTGGTGGAGTTGCCAGTATTCCCTTCCTATTGGCCCAACAATTTCCTAGGTGATTTTTTTCCAGACAAATTTATTCTGTGTCTCCCAAAAGGCTTCATATATCATAAGGTTGACATTGTCTAATCAGACTGGTAAGCTTTTCCTATGAGGGACTGGACACAGCAACAGAGATGCCAAAATCTGCAGTTCTTTGTACTGGAAGTTACGCAGTGTTTTGTAGCATACACAAATGTGTGTCCATACCCAGGACACACATATTCTATAGGTATGGTGTCTTCATCTATAATTTACTGGCCTGCACCCATCCACTTCAGGCTCCTGATTTATGGGCTTCTCTCCGTGTAAGCTGGAGAACTGGGAACCTGCAGGCTGCCTAGGTCACAGATTTATTTGCAGAAAACAGGCAAAATCTTTCTTCCAAGAGTCTACAAGCAGCCAGTACAGTATAAAAGCCGTATGCTGGAAGTGAAGAAACCTTGACTGAAGAAACCAGGAGAAGTGATGATTTGGCTATTGCCC